GTTTGAAATACATTGACATTTCTGTTTTAACATTATTTTAACTTTACAGGGTTAAAGGTTAAATCTCATATTACTGTTGCCTTTGTGTTTGTTGTAAAATTGTTTTGGGCTTGTCTTATTTTTGACAGTTCTAACCCTAACTCTTCTGACTCTTCTCATTGCAGATCTAAACTGTTTTACTAAACTTTTAAACTAGTCTTCACAGGTCCAGAGGCTGCTGCTGTTTACTGTGAGTATGTCTGCACGCACTTACTAACTCACTAACTCTGTACGAACACGGGCGGTGGGTCTAATCCAGCCACAGGGGGCGCTGTGTGTGTCCCTCTGTGCCAGTCCCCAGCCTGGATAAATGGAGAGGGTTGCTTCGGCGTAAAACCTGCCTCTTTTAGCCCGATCTTAAAGTGTCTTTTAGCCCGTCTTAAAATAATTTTTACTTTGTTTGGTGATATTTACTTGTGGTGAATATTTATCATAATATAATTTATCATCAGTTTTGTGTTTGTTTCTGAACAAAAGTTGATAAGAAAAGCACAAAAATAAAAGACGTAGTGGTTCTAAAAAGGAATATGTCTGTTATCTAAACTTTCAAATGCAGGGATCATACATGCATCTCAAATTTCGGACTTCTGGTCATCGCACAGTGCATACTGGGAAGGATCCTCCAAAAAAGTGAGCATCAAACTGCCATGTTTGTTTTCCCAGTGGGATGCGTCTATTGTCAAAGTCGATCTTTTCAAGTCTTTTGAACCATATCACTTTTGCTTGTGGTTCTGATATTGTCATATTTTAGTTCTGGGATTCGGACATTGTAATTGTGTGGTTGTTGGATGTCCTAATAGTGGAAAACGGCTCGAGAAATGGGCTTCGGAAAGTTTGCGAACTCCATTAATGCAAAAGTGAATCAGATCTGTGTGACTGCAAACTTCTGTTCAAACCGATCCCTCACTCAACCTCAGTTACGAATTTAAAAAGTCAACTCCAAAGCAAAAGGCACCAGCTGTTCACCAAGAAACACCTTCCACTGCAAAGCGACCAAGACGTGATGTTGCTGTAAAACCACAAGAACAAGAAAGTGCAGTTCAGTCTGTTTGTCTTCTGCACCTCTCACTTAACAAACGGTATTTTGCTTTGTTGACGCTCCACATACAAAATGTTCTCTGCAAACTCGGAATGATTTAGGCAGTGAAAAGTTTCCTTTTTCATCCTTCCTGTGGATCAATCCTGCCCAGCACCTTCACCTTTCACTATTTTTCAATTCCGTTGGGAAGGGAAACAGTTTGAATGGAGGTTTGCAGTCACACACATCTGATTCCCTTTTGCAGTTGTGGAGTTTGCAAACTTCCGAAGAGCATTTCTCGAGCCATTTTCCACTGTTAGGGCATCCAACAACCACACAATTAACGATGTCTGAATCCCAGAACTAAAATATGACAATATCAGAACCAGAAACAAAAGCGATATGGTTCAAAAGACTTGAAAAGATCGACTTTGACAATAAACGCATCCCACTGGGAAAACAAACATGGCGGTTTGATGGAGGATCCGTTCCAGTATGCACTGCACGAAGTCCACGTATTGAACCTATTGTGTAATTTTAGACACTCCCCTTTTTCACAGTACGGTTGCTCGGTAAAAGTTTGTATCTGCTGTCCGCGTTCAACCAGGAAATAAAATCAGAAATCTTCATAATAAATATAATTTCTTACATGCCATATGCACTTTAATATATTGACTGTACCAACTTAAATCTGTCTTTTATCTTGTAGCTTTAAAGTTATATTTATACGTTTGATTTAGTCAGTCATAACCTAAATGCCTCCTGCTGCTAGAATAAAAAGTACATCAGTAAACTATTCTGTAAATGTGTAAATATTGTAATGGTGAATAAACGTGTAATGCGTGTAGAATTTAGAAAGAAAAAAAAACAAAACATCTCAATCACGAAATGTGGGGAAATCTGACAGCTATACTTTTGAATTTTTGACTTTTGATTGAGTTTTACAGAGGAAAACCTAAGAACCAAGTCCCTCGTGTCACCCAGAGCAGTGGCGCCATCTGCTGGAGAAGAAATACAAGAACCAGACCTCCGGATTCACAATACTCAAACACTGAACAAACAGAAATTCCCGCTTACAAAATAACATTGCATTTTTATTATTATTATTTTTTTTTTTTGATGACTGTGACCAAATTTGTGATTTATTGAAATTTCAGATACATTTAAATTGCCTTTATGTAGAATTTATTATTACTATTTATATTTTTTACTCATTGGTATTCAGTGTTGGGGAGTAACAGATTACATGTATCGGAGTTATGTAATCAGAGTACAAATTATGAGTAACTGTATTCAGTTACAGTTACTGTTTCAGTGAGTGGTAATTGGATTACAGTTACTTTGTTGAAATAAATGGATTACATGGAGGTATTTTCCTGTTTTTCATTTTGGGCTATATTCCCCTTTTCTTTTCTTTTTTTTTGTGGTAATTCCACTCATTGTCGGAAACAAAACAAGGTCTAAAACCAGGTCTAAACTAGATCTAAACCAGGACTAAAACCAGATCTAAACTAGATCTAAACCAGGACTAAACTAGGACTAAACCAGGACTAAACTAGATGTAAACTAGATCTAAACTAGGTCTAAAACAGGACTAAAATAGGACTAAAACAGGATGTAACAGAACTAAACCATGCTGGGCGGATGTGTCTCCTCCTCTTCTATCAATAATATTTTTTATACAGTTAAGTAAAGTCTGGGCTTTTTATTTTCTTTTAGCAGACAAAACATCTTATATTACGATATCCTCACTTTTGCTTCTCTACAGCAAATCAAGTAATCCAGAGTATTCAGATTACGTTACTCACTTTGTAATCCATTAAATTACTTAAACTACATTTTGTGGTATGTAATCTGTAATCTGTAGGGGAATACATTTTAAAAGTCACCTTCCCAACACTGTTGGTATTATATCATCTTGTGATATGTGAGATGTTGTGTCCAAATAATTTTTTAATTTTAATAGTAGAAGTCGTATTTGTCAATTTTGCGTAATATGGAACCTTTAAATTTCCTATTTTCAGCCCCAGCCTTCCTCTCTTTTTTTTTATTTGAAATGTTTTACTATTTATGTGTTTTTAAGTGATATAACATGTTTTGCAAGTCACATAACAAAACTATCTTTCTCAAACTTGCTCCAGACCAAACTTGTTCCGACCGTTCACTCCCCTCGGCCAATCACGTGTCTCCGTCGCGGGGCGGGAGGTGCGCTCGTCCAATCAGAGCCCGCGCCGAGCCCCTTGGACCCGCCCCCCGGTACGAGCTGGTTTGAACGGGGCAGTGGTGGTGAAAACTCCGCTCCCGGGTCCAGGTCCCTCCCTCTCTACCTCTGTCCGCTGGTCAGGCTGCTGCTGCTGCTCTCCCTGCCCCGCTGCACACCTCCAAGAACCAACCATGTCCGACAAACTGCAATACAAAGTTGGTAAGTGCCGATTTTGTGCGGTTTTCCTCGAGCTAGCTGCGGCTAAAGTGGCTAAAATCTCATCCAAACGCAGCTTTACGTGTGGTAAAAGCATACGCATGGTTAAAAACATAACTCAAACACCACGAATGCAATCAAAACTATTATTTGAGCAAATCCTGTATTTATTTAGTTGTCAGTATCTTGCTAATGCTATATAAAATGCTATTAACTACCGTGTTTTCCTGTATTTTCTTGCTTTCACTTATTTTGAGCACGTTTTTTTCCGTGTTACAAATCGGGCAACGCGTTTCTTGCAAAATGGCGTTTAAATTTTAACTTTTATCCGTGCTTTTGCTCAAACTTTGACTCACGTTGTCAATGAATCGACATGTTACAGTCGGACGCACACGCCGCTGCAAGCATGGGCTGCTGAGCGATCCAAAATCCACCCTCGGCGTGTCTGGGGATTGTAGTTTTTTAACCACGGTGAAGTCCATAGGCGTTAATGTGTAGCGCGCTGTTTGCGGACTACATTTCCCGTGAGGCATAGCGGCTCTCGTTTCACACTTGACTGACAGGAGCAGATAAAGCTAGTAATCGACACTGTAGTAGTAAAATACACGTGGTGTGCTGCCAGAAGTAACTTAAGGATAAAATGTTGGATTTTATTCTTAAATTATGAGTAAAATTGCGAAATAATTTTATCTTATAGTAGCGTTAAATTATATAAAAACCTTTGGGTTCATCGTAGAATAAATCAATGCCTAAAATTTGGATTTGAAGATTAGAATACGATGTGGAATTTGCAGTTTGACCTGATTTATGGTTAATATTTCAGTCATTACTATCTAGCTCAAATTGTTTTTCTTTGTAAGCAAAAATAAACAGAAGTGAAATTTCAAAATGTTTTCAGGAGGCTGAAAGGTCCTAAAAGTCATATGATTTTAATATGACAAGTTTGTGGAACCAACGAGTTCAAAAGTTGAACATTTGCGGATCTTAAAGCCACAGTATGTAACTTTTTAGCATTTTATTTTCCTTCATTTGTTTGTTTTTTAGTTTAAAACATTGGAAAAACATGCGTACCGACTGTGAGCAGGCTTGAATTTCCACAAACCTGACTCTTTATTTGGCGGTGTCCTGCTTGTCTCCACGGGAATGTTCCTTTTGGCCATAATTTACCGCAGAATGGCATAAAACGAATCTGTCTCAATTGCGAATGTTCCGAAGTATGGTTTTAACTTTCTATTTCTATGATATCATGCAAGTAACACGTAATTTCCACACCCAGGGAGTTGTGTTATACCTTTTTTTTGAAGTAAGTTTGGGTATTTCTGCGTATCATTCACTTGCATACGCCTCTGCCGTCCATCTGAAATTATGACATGAGCTTGACCTTATTTAGTACAACTAGGATAACGATGACTTGCTCTGTTTGGTCAGTAAATATTGTGCATGCCAACCCTAATTTGGATGTATTGGTAATGGAAATGAATCAAATGGGATCGATATTTCAACAGTGCAGAGTTCAGACCAAAAGATTAAAGGTTTGGGATTTGGGGAGTGGCCGTATTTAAGCATTGTAAAACTGTATTTCCAGAAGATCGACCTGCTTCAGTGAGTCTTTGTTCCTTCAGTCTTAATCTCACGTATTTGGTCCTGTATGCTTAGGGTTTAGTCTGCAAGATAAAGTCAATTTGAGTGATCACGATTAGCGGATCACAATGAAAGCAGCTATTTGAACATGTTGTACTCTGCAAACAAAATGCCCTCTCCTGTTATGTTAAAAAAAAAAAAAGTCAACAATGTAGTTTAGACTTACACAAACATGTTTTAAATGAATGGGACTCTCTTGAATGCTAATGTTTCAACTCAAATGTGAATGTTCTATTATTATTTTTAACATAAATTAAAACTCTAATAAAGACGCTGGCCGGTCAGTTGCTACTAGACATTCATTCAAATGTCACAATAACAAATTTTGAAGTACAATTTACTAGGCCTGTAACGATAACAGATTTTGCTGGACGATTAATTGACCAAGAATTTATTGCGATAAACGATAATATTGACATTTTGAGACCAATTTCTACTAATATAATGACCATGGAATAAAAATGCAAACACATTCTCTCAATGATCAATAAACCTTACTTTTTAAATAACATTTAACATAGGAACTGTAAGACAAACAAAAACAATAGGCCTAAATAAAATAGACTTGTTAACATAAGAATAGCCTAATGTAGTCTGGCTCACAGCAAGGAGTTGTTAACAAAAATGCACTTGATTAAACCATTGCTGAACCAAACACAACCAAAACGACAATAAATAAAATGGATTATTAAGTCTCTGTCACAAAATTGCCCTTAAAAGTGATTTTAGTCATTGTCTTACATTGGAATATAGTGGCCTCTCTCTCTGTGGCTGCTGCTGTGGCTTCGTCATTTTGGTCATTTAAATGTTCGTATTAACCCTCGACACAGGATGCTGTTTCGCTATGAGGGAGCCTCTGTTCTGTCTGGTGTCGTGTCGGAGTCCTGTGGGATTTCAGTGGATTTCGGGATCTCCCGGAGGCTAGTTGTGTCACTCGGTTTGGGTTTATCGGCTGTTGGGGTTTGAGACATTTCTTCTCGTCGTTTGCATTTGCTGATAAACACAGCGGATGTTGGTTCAAGCGTCATGATGCTTCTTCAACGAGAGGAGTCAGACCGACAGAAGCGTTCTAACATTCACCCTCTCTGAGAGCGAGCGAGAGCGAGGAAAACAAACAAGCATGCAAATGGAATTTATCGTGTCCGGAAAAGTTATCGAGCTCGTTAAGTTATTGTACGATTATTGGTCGTTACAGGCCTACGATATGCGAAGTACGAGAGATGCGAAGTACCAGAGATAACTGAATGGGGATGAGACGAGACACAATTTTGATAAAACGAGACACAATTTTGACGAGATGAGACCAGACACGAGATTAGGTCCATGAGATTGAGACAAGATTTTCTCATAATCTATAACTTAAAACGTGTGATCCCATTTGCAGTTTTGGTCCAATATTTTTGTATTTAACTTTATTTTTTGTAATTGAAGACCTACTTTTGGAAACCACGGCCTTGTAAGAGATTTAATTTACCAATCCTTAAGTCTTTAATGTCCAATCTAAATGTAGACTAAATGGAAATAAATCTCACGAGATCTTGTCCCATCCTTGTTGCTGAAGTAAATCTAAACAATAATATAAACTGAAACTAATTTATGCCACTGACACAATAAGCAAACGAGCAGATTTAAACCACAAAAACTATTCCAAATGTGTAATATTTAAATAAAATCATGAGCTGTAATAAATAAACAGCAGAATCAAACACTTCAGTAGTTAATTTGCATCGGTAATAAGACGTAGAAGTCATTAATTCAACATATTACTTCTTAAATCTTACCATATTACCAAAAAACAACAAAACAAAAAATTTCTCATTAATGCAAAGAAAATGTACACACGGTAAATATTGTTCCAGATTTCTTCTATTGAGCGATAAGTCGATATAGTATAGTATAGATATAAGCACAATTCGTACACAAAGTAATTTTACAGAATAAGAAATGCATTAAAATCAACAATTCAAACCAATCGAAACATAAATAAAGGTCATAAAATTAAAATGGAGAGAGCTTTTAGCATGTGCCTGTTGTTCAAAGATCAGGTAAATGTAATTACTTAAAACAGTCCTGCCCCAAAGGCTTTTCTAGTCCATGTACCGACACTAAAACACAAGATGGAGGTGATAAGAGGCTCTCTGGTTTGGACACCGCAGATGAATTATACTGGTGATAAAAACAAATATTAAAGCAGCTATGTTTAGTGTTTGACATGGATTTAAAAATAAGTCTTGTGCTTATTTGCTTCATCTGTGGCCTAAGATCGATTTAACTGGTGATGCCGGTTTACATTGGAAGTTTAGGCCAAATCTGTCATACTTACTTTATGAATATTGGAAAAAAAAATAACTAAATGGTATCAAAGAACTTTTTTTTTTTTTTTAAATAAATAATAAATAAACAAATAAAAATGACTAACTCTTAAAAGTGGTCATGTCTGGATTATCTATGTGCAGTTTTTGGGCGCGTGAAATGGCCAGAATCAAATATTTTGTTTTATATAAATTTATTTTCCCTTCACAATATTCAGACAGTTTTATGACAATTTATCAGAAACGTCCTTAAATTGTGAGTATGGTTTAGGCTGAAGTATTGAACAAAATGTACAGCGGAAATATCATTTTATACTACTACTACTACAATACTACTACTACAACGAATACTACAACAATACTGCTATTGCTACAACTACGCCGCCGCCGGCACCACCACCCAGTGTTATAATGTTGCATAGGAAATCAGCTGCAAAGTCTATGGTTAAGTTAATCTATATACATATTAGAGCCCGACCGATATGGATTTTGTTGTGGCCGATATGAAACGGATATAATGGGAGTTGGAGCTGCCGATAGCCGATATATTCACCGATATATTTAGTGATGAAAAAATTCACTGTAAATCTTGAATTGTTTAAAAAACTTAGGTTTGGCTCTAGTGGATTCTAAATTGGGTTTATTTAGGCAACATTTATTGTTGTTCTGACTCTTTGCATCATATTTACATACAGTAGATTGGCCTAATGGCATTTTTGCATCACATTCTAGCTACTAGTGATGGGTATTCCAGTTTTTTTTTTTTTTTTTTTTTTTTTTTTTTTTTTTCGGAGAACCGGCTCTTTTGGCTCGGCTCACTAAAGCAGCTGGCTCTTTCGGCTCCCAAGCGACTCTTGAGATTGTTTTGTTGCAAGCAGGACTAAACCAGAACTGAACCAGGACTGAGTGTCGGGACTCGGTTTCGTATCTCTCTCCTGCACTCGAGCCCAAGATTAGTCCTGGTTTATTCATTTTATGCTGAACTGCAGCCAAATATGCACTTTTTTTTTATCCTATGCACACGCAGATTTCTGAAAGTTTCGTTTTCAGCCGCTGCTGCTGTCAAACTACGGGTCTACATGCAGCTTGAAGAGAAAAAATGAGAAAAAGAGAAAACACGGCTCCCTATAAGAAGCAGGCTCCCGTTGTTCGCTCTTAGAGCCGCTTCGATCGTGACCGACCCATAACTCCTAGCTAGTAAACTATCGCTATTAGCCTTTAGCCGTAAATGCTGCGCACCGTCTGCAGACAGACGTAATAAAACACAACTCCAGGTATGTTTTTGATGAAGTAACCACATTATAAAATGGAATAAAGCTCACAAGATTCACTTTTTCGTAATATGGGACCTTTTTAAAAACGCCATTGATTTCAAATTGCATAGCTGTGTATTTGACCAATAAAATGTCACTCGATTGTAATCAATGAATAGTAGTGAACCAGCGATCTGTTATCAGTTGCATTGAGTATTCATCCTCACGTTCTTCTGCTTTCTGCGGCGTCATAAACGACTTAAAAGAGTTAATCAACGGCTCACGGAAGATAACTCCAACCAAAGTCCAAGCTATCCACGCACACGGCGCTTCACCTCTGCCACAGAAAGCTCCCATTCAGACTCAAAAAAAGGAAAAAAAAAAAAAAACGAAAAAAACTAATCGAGTCATGCTGACACAGATCGTTTAAGTAAACAACATGATAATCCACATCGTGTATTTATTGTTTGAGCTGGATTTTCAAGAGCACTACTGTTATTTTTAAGGCGTGGCACTTGAATGACCTCTTGAAATGAATGGAAATTATGACTTTGCAATATGGAAAATCGATTTGAGCAGTTTCTTATTAATGAAGATAATTACTATACCAACTTGGCAATATACAAGCAATATTATGTACATTTTTTTTGCAATAGTTGGGAGTTTTTGGTTATTTTTTGGGTATATGATGCGATTTAAGGTGTAAAAGTTGGAATAAATAACTTCTGTGACTCATTCTACATCTACAATATTTAAAAAAAAGTATTTTTTTTGTTTGGTCATTAGTAAGAAACTTAAAACAATCACAAAATCAGTATAGGCCTGTCAAGATAATACTATAGCAACTTAGTAATATTGAATGTATATTTTCTTTGCAATATTGGGAAGTTTTTGGTTATTTTTTGGGTGTATAAGATTTAAGGTGTAAAAGTTGGAATAAATAACTTCTGTGACTCATTACAAATAAAAATTAAGGACTAAAATAGCTTTATTCTCCTGTTTTATGTATTGCAGTTCATGTTTTTCTTTCTTTATTATTATTATTTTTTTTAATAATAATAATATTGTAGATGTAGAATATTTTTTCTTTGGTCATTAGTAAGAAACTTAAAACAGTTACAAAATCACTATTGGCCTGCCAAGGTAATCACTATACCAACTTAACAATATTATGTACATTTTCTTTGCAATACTGGGAAGTTTTTGGTTATTTTTTTGGCTACATGAAAAGATTTAAGGTGTAAAATTTGGAATAAATTACTTTAATGACTCATTACAGATAAAAAATTAAGGACTTTAGTGCTTCATTCTCCTGTTTATGTATTATAGCTCATGATTTTCTTTTAATAATATTGTAGTAATTGTGTATTTTTTGTGTGGTTTGATACTGCTTTAGGGTTATCGTGTCAGTTTTATGAATGAATAAAAAGGGATGGGTCAAGATCTTGAGGCAAAATTTCAACAAAACTGTGCACACATGAGGAAAATGATCTTGAGATTTTTTTCCCCTAATTTTTTTCACATTTGTGTAAAAAAAGGGGGTTAACTTTGCTGAGTAACTCCTCTTGAGAAGCTGTTATTCCAAAAAGCAGAGCTAAAATGACACCAAAACTATAAATTATAATAAATAAAATAATTGTGAAGCCAATTTTTTTTTTTTTTATCTGAATGACAGTTGTTAAAAATTAGATCAAAATCTCGTCTTGTCTCATTCTCGTGGACAGAATCATGACGTGTTTCAGCCGTGGGGAAAAAAAATAAAAATTACAAATTCTTTTACTCATTTAAAGGTGCACTATGTAACTTTTTGGTTGGGCGTCCGTCACCTCCTTGTTTCTTTGGAGATGTTTTACTTTACATTTATTCAATTCCAGGTGGTTTTATAGCTCAAAAATACTCAAAAAAACAAACATTCTGACTGTGAGCGGGGTCGCCTCTCCGCAGATCTGACCTGTAACTTGGTCTGTTTTGGTCTCCATGAAGATGGAAAGGTTAAATGCCATACTGTGAAACATTCCAGGCAAAGCAATAACAATTTCGATAAAGAAAAGCATTTGTCAGACCCTCCACCGCCGCAAAACTTACACAATGCACCTTTTTAAACAATTATTGTGACAGGCCTAGATCAGTCTTGGGAAAATATTTATTTACAAATTCTTACACAAAAATAGTCAATGATCAATGTGCGGTCACCTATTCACGGCAGCAACATTTAATCTTTAGTCAAACTCTCGAAATTAAAGGTGTATTGCGTAACATTTTTAGGTAGAAGGTCCACTATTTGTTTGTTTCCATGGTGAAATCCTTGAATGTTGCTTTGCCAGAACGTTCCACAGTTTGGCATTCGACTTTTCGATCTCGATGGAGACGAGTGATGCCTCCAGACCAAGTTACGGGTCAGATTTGCGGAGAGGCAAGCCCGCTCTCGACTAAGACTGCATTTAAACGTATATTTTCAGTGTATAAAAACTGAAATTGAATAAATGTTGGATGGATTCAGTAGTGTAACCTCAGTTGGAAGAGATGCACAGTGCACGTTTTAAGGAAGGTCTTTTAATGTGCTGCTCCTTGAGGCGTTGCAGCCCCCCCTTGTGGTGGTGCTGTGTCATTAGGAGCACAGAGAGACGGTGGAGGTCTGCACTGGGACTCTGTCTGAAGAGAGATCTCAGAGTGAAATCGACACCAACAAACAACATCGAGGAAGCTTTTAAAGGAATATTATATTAGAAGATACACATGTTAAAGGTGCATTGTGTAACTTTTCTGGTGCAGGGTCCATCAAACGCTTTTCTCCATGGACATATTATTGCTTTGTCGGGAATGTTTCACAGTATGGCATTAAACCTTTCCAGACCAAACTAGTACAGGCCCCATCCACACTATTCGGATGCAGTGTTCGTCCACACTAATCTGATGGAAAACGGCTCCAGAGACGGAACGATCTGGTGCCGCCAGCTCCCACGAATTCATCTGAGTACAGATCTGGTCCGGCACTGTGTGGACGCCTGAAAACACTGATTCGCTGATGTAGGAGCTTTTATTTGCGTTCTTATTGGACCATGTCACTGTGACCTGCGTCTTTCTGATTCCCTGGTTTGTGACGTCGGTCATGTGACGCTATTTCGGAAAACAGTTTAAACAAACCATAGAGAAACGAGAATCAGTGGAGCTAGAACAACTATGCTTATCTTTAAAATCCAGTGTTATGTTCAGTACCAACTGAATCTCGTCGTCGATTCACAAAAATACTTTTAATGCTTGCCATCTTCCTTGGCTCAAATTAGCTGCTGCACCTTCAGACTTGATGCTCCACTTGTTTTTACCGCCCACGTGATATCCTAACTTCGTGACACCAGCCTAGTTATGTGACTAGCGTTTCAGGCGGTTTCGTGTTAACTTTATGGATAAGGAAGGCTTTGATTGCGACACAGAAACGACGTGTCTGGACTGGATTCTGTGCTCTCAGAATGTCATGTTTAATGTGATTAGGCCTACCTACTGTCTTTTAAATATGACTGTAAAGCGGCAAAATAACAGTAATTGTAGCCAAAATAAACCCAACTTAAAATCTAATAGAGCCAGACCTAAATTTTATAATCACTTGAATATTTACAGTGAATTATTACGTTATTAAATATATCAGCTATTGTATCGATTATGGGCACCTCCAACTCCCCTTTTATCTGTATCATGTCTGTTCTTAAAAAATCCATATTGGTCGGGCCCTACTCTGCAGCTCAGTGAAGGAATTCTGGAGAATCCGTGTATCATTCGTTTATTCGTTTTTCGATATAAAACCAAAAATAAGAAAATGAAAAAACAACAGTTTTCTTCATTATTTGTCTCCAAAACCAAAATGAAAAAACAGATGATTTGTTTTTTTCAGTTTTCGATTTTGTGTTTAAATGAAAAAAAAAACGGATAATGGCCCGTGACTGCGATGCTGGACTTTTGCGCTGCATACGGACTGAACCAGGACTGATCCAGGTCCGGGACTGAGACCGGAGGGACTGAGACCGGAGGGACTGAGACCGGAGGGACTGAGACCGGAGGGACTGAGACCGGAGGGACTGAGACCGGAGGGACTGAGACCGGAGGGACTGAGACCACGGCAGGGTCAGAGCTTGAAGCTGAGGCTCGGACCCTGCAGAGGCTCTGGTCCCGTTCTGGTCCCGGTCTCAGTCCCGCTCTGGTCTCGGACCTGGATCAGTCCTGGTTCAGTCTGTATGCAGCGCAAAAGTCCGGCATCGCAGTCACGGAAGTCACGTAAATGGAAAATGGCTGTTCTTTGCGTTTTTCATTCTTCATTTAAACACAAAATCAAAAACTGAAAAAATGAATCATTAACAGTTTTTTTTTCATTTTGGTTTTGGAGACAAATAAAGAAGAAAACTGTTGTTTTTTCCATTTTCTTATTTTTGGTTTTATATTGAAAAACGAATGATACATGGGTTCTGGAGGTTCTGAACTTTCACATGTATTCTATCTGCAGGTTAAGGCTCTGGAAACACAGGGTCAGTTGTGAGGCTTGTACATTTTCTACACTGTAAGAGCAGGCTACATACAGATCCATTTAACTAATTGATTTTCATCTTTATATTACTGTAAGAAACAAATCATTTTCTTAAAGGACATTAGTTGTACATAAAAGATAATGTCTAGAAATTTTTTTTATTACATTACGTTATTATATCCACACACCTGCCTGACCTGTCCCCCCTCTGTCCCCCACAGCCGACATCAGCCTGGCTGAATGGGGGCGCAAGGCCATCGACATCGCCGAGAACGAGATGCCCGGCCTGATGAAGATGAGGGAGCTGTACGGCGAGTCCAAGCCCCTGAAGGGAGCTCGTATCGCCGGCTGCCTCCACATGACCCTGCAGACCGCCGTGCTCATCGAGACCCTCACCGCTCTGGGGGCCGAGGTACGAGCGTAGTTCAGTTGGACTAAATCTTCAGAAGTACACGACTGGAAACTCTGATCTATGTTTGTGTTAGTGTTTCCTTGTCACAAACAGACCTGGAGTTTGTGTTTTGTTTGATTCACACATATTTAACACACAAACTCTGCATATTTAGGAGTTCTCTCAAGCAAAAAAACACTACGTTCGACAAGAGAGAAGGCAGAGTCAGATGAAATTAAATGTATGTCATGCATTTTATAAAATCAGAGACCAGGAACTGACATTTCACGTTGAAAGGCAAATTATAGTAATAACAATAGAACAGAGAACAACAGACGGTTAATGTCACATATGAACAGTTCTTCAGATTAAACTATAACATAAACAACAGAACAACTTTACCAAACTCTCCGTCTCACTCCATTCAGTTCTTCATCCTCGGTGCCGCTTCCTCTTCGATGTAGCTGTCGTCGGACTCTGCATCAGTTCCAGTTAGAATTAGGGGTGTGCAAAAATATCAAAATATCGATATATCGTATCGTTGAATGTGATGATACAGTATCGATATCCTGGGCTGCTGAATCGATACATCTCCAACAGTATTTTTTGATATATTTTACCAAATTATTTTGTTACAGTTACAGTTTTATTGTTTGTTTAGAGGAAGGAAACTCATTTATGCGACATATTTGACATTTTGATGATTAAAATGTTTGTGTTTCATATAAAGTTTGCACAAGAAGTGGTTTAACAAAAACTTTTTGTCTTACAGCCATGATTTAGCCTTTAATTTTTTATTGAACCGTATCGAATCGATTTGAAATATATCGTATCGAATCAAAAGTGCACTGTATGGAGATATGTATCGTATCGTGGCCTCTGTATTGAGGTATGTATCGTATCAGCAACTTCTTAATGATACTCAGCCCTAGTTAGAATTATTCCGGCCTTTCTGAATCCCGACAGGATGTTTTTTGTTGTTACTGAAGTCCAGGCTTTGTCCATCCATCCAGTGACTTCCAGGAAAGTTTCATGGTGCATCCTCCCAATTGTCGTGAAGCTGTCCTCTCCATCCCCGCTTTCCTCCAAGTTTCTCGCTCACTCCAGACTTTCTTTCTGCTGCACGATTACAGTTTTTGGCTGAATATTTCACTACTTATAGCAGGACACATACAGGAGACATGAGCAGTAGAGTGAAGTGACAGTGGTACAGGAGGAACAGGAGCAGCAGATATTGACACACAAGACTAGAACCTCTCGTGGCTATCAGTCTGAAAATTTTAATATGTAGACTAGGGATGGGCATGATTAGTCGATTAATCGATAATTGATCATTAAGAATTTCATCGATTATGTTAATTTTAATTGACAAACCGAATGTAGGTTGTTGTGTGTAGTGTGACCAAACAGGTCTGTACATGTGTCTCTGCATCAGAAGGAGCGAGACACAAACATTCGGTCAGTCTGCAACGTACCGAAGCACAAATGTGTATTTAACGAAGACTTGTACAAGAAATTCCACGCTTTCCGTTGTGTCCGGGACAAGTGTGAGTCCGTGTGCACAGTGTACAAAGCAGGCACATATGTTTCAGTGTCCAGTGGGAAAAAGTTTTGCCAGGTGAGAGAAGCACAATGTCGATGACGAGTCCCCACCTCCCTCCCCCCGTACAGTGTCCTGGTTTTGACAAACGCAAATATGATCACACTAACCTGTATTCACTGAGTCATGTCTTTTAATCCGACAGAAGACACAAGAGCTGTAGTTTTATCTTCGCTTAGTTTATGCAAATTAGCGATGCGGTTTTAAGTTTCGTTTCTGTGAGAGTTGCGCAAAACTGCATTAAACACATTATAATGTCAAACGGGCTGATGTGGCTCTAGAGTCGTTACGGTTTATATGTCGTAAAGTTGAATTTATTTATGCAGATTAGTAGTGCAGATAGTAATAATAATGATGATCATTTTAATATAATGATTAATCGATAATCGATCGTTAATTCTTCCGACGATCGATTTAGAAAATTTCATTGAATGCCCATCCCTAATATAGAGACCACCCAAACCATGAAAAAAAAGTGCCAGTTATAGTCCGAAAAATACGGTAACCCAAGTTTTAAGTTCAGCTGGAAGCATGTTTGAGTTTATTTGCTGTGAAGATCGGGCAAAATAATACAACCCCTATGACGAAAGCGGCCCACTGTAACTTCCGGAATAAGGTGAATAAACTCCCAGATTCCAGGTGACGGGGATCGCTGGTTTGTTTGCCTTGAACTCCTCACTCAGGGTCTTATCTGAGTCAGTTTGGGCAGGAACAGACCGGTCCCCTCTGCTCCCTAAATACACTTTAAATACTCCATGTTTACCTGGGAAATAGTGGGTGAGGGACGGCGTTTAAACAGATCTCATTGAAGTAGTTCAAAACATGTTTTAAACAAGGCTTCTATTGGTCTGCAAATAGTCGTAGTAGTTGAAAGTAAGTAGCTCTAAGAAAGAACTGTGTATTTTAAGATTAGACCAGTTAAAAAGTACATCCAAATCGAGTCATGCGTCAACAAGGTTATCTAAATTTGGGCAAATGTACGACTAAAATACAGTGTTGAGTCATGCTCTTGTACTAAAACATAGTTGATGTGGATGGGACAAGATCTCGAGCCACAAGATCGTGCACACGTGAGGAAATTAATCTTGTGAGGCTGTTTTCCATTTAGTTTACGCTTAGATTGGACTTAGAAGGGTTAAGGGCTTGAAAATGACATCTGTTGTGGATCTGTGGTTCCAAAAATAAGGTCTACAGCAGGGGTGTCCAAACTTTTTTCATCAAGGGCCACATATCTAAACACAGATGAAGCAGAGGGCCGATCAAGGGCTGTAGACTGATGCTCAGTACAGGGAATAATTCAAATATGTGCATGTTTAACATGTTAGAATGAGCCATCAGTCTTTATTCACGCTGAGATCCTTAAAACCACAGTCTAAATATTAAATATTAGCTTTATCAAAGTAGATTTTCAAAAAACTTGCAGTAAAAAAGTATTTTTTAATTGATACAAGGTCATTTGGGTAAATTTACCTGGAAGTCTGAGGGCCAAGAAAAATTTGTCTGAGGGCCGCATTTGGACCCCGGGCCATAGTTTGGACATGCCTGGTCTACAGTGTTGCCCACAGACCAAGTAGACAGTGTTTTTATAAATCTATCTCCATCTGATTAATGTTCATAAAATATGTTCTAAAATGTTCTAAAATAAGCCAAACAACCTGTACTGCACTGAAACACTTACTCCTGCGCTCCTTTTATTATGCAAAACTTCAGCCTTCTGTGTGGAACCTGTAGCATAAATTTAGTGAGTCGGGAAGAAAGTTGGGACATTATTTTAATATTAACTTGAGGTCCGAGTTGCTCTTGGGTTGGTTGGAAACATCGGGCCAGTGCAAGTGTTTTGTAAGTCTATGTATGGGAAACACTGGTCTACTACTATTACAACAAAAATATTAAATTAGAGAATGTTAGGCCAAAGCTGCGAACAGAATCGGACATTTATTTTAAGTAATGTCAAAATCTCCGTCTCATTTTTGTGGAAATAATCTTTTGTCTCGAGTTATCTTGGGGAAATTGTCTCGTCCCATCCCTAATAATTGACATAAATATTTAAAATTGTACTAAAAATTTAGCATTTTTTGGGGAAGGTAAATTTCACCTACCATTGAGATATTTTTGCTTTGCCTGGAATTTTTCGCATTAAGATATTAAACTTATTTATTTCCATGGAAACAAGCACCAAGCCAATTTACAGGTCCGATTTGTGGAGAGGTGGTCTGATTACAGGACAATGCGTATTTTTCAAGGTTTTGTTTTATTGTAAGAACATCCTATAATTAAATAAAAAAGCTAGTTTAATGCCATACTGTGGGACATTCCAAAACCTGGTGCTGGACCCTTACTACAAAAGTTACACGGTGCATCTTTAATGGTTTGACGCTCGGCTCAGACATGACAAACACGTGCCTCGTCTCGTTTCTCTTTCCACGCTTCCTTCTCCTCGATTCCTCTTCTCGATTCTGCAGGAAATGGGTGAGGAAGTGAGGAGAGAGGATCTAAACTCCTCACTGAGACCAATAAAGTTTGATTTTATTTATTTTTTTCCTCCAACGTCTGCTCCTGAAGGTTCCCTCTTGTTTACTCCTTTGATTGACAGCGGTTCGAGGAGAGGAATCGAGGAGAAGGAAGCAAGGAAAGAGAATTGTTAGCGGCCAATGTAATACTGAAGTGCTCCTTGAGGCGTTGCAGCCCCCCCTTGTGGTGGTGCTGTGTCATTAGGAGCGCAGAGAGACGGTGGAGGTCTGCACTGGGACTCTGACTGAAGAGAGATCTCAGAGTGAAATCGACACCAACAAATTAATCTTTTTAGAAACTGAATATAAGACAATTTAACTTAAAACAAGAGAATTAGGCTACGTTCAGACTGCAGGGCTTAATGCTCAGTTCCGATTTTTTTGTGAAATCCGATGTTTTTGCGAGGTCGTTCACATTTCCAATTAAATGCGACTTGTCTGTGACTTCAGTGTGAACGGTAAACGGCCCGAAAGTGTCCCGCATGCGCACTGGAGACACGATGACGTCAACCCCATGCGTCAACCGCAGCGATCGTGCTCTGTGTTTACGGAAGTTGTCCAAATATGGTCGCGAGCATTGAGCACCTGGCGATTTTACAGTTCCGGTTTCCGCCTGCTTCAGCGCAGAATAGTGACGTTTGTCGATTGTTGATGACGTGTAGGTCGGATGGATGCGCTTTGGCCGTTCAGACTGAAGTCGCATGTCAAAAGATCGGATATGTATCGGATTCAGGACCACATATCCAAGTGTGCTGGGTCGCATTTGAAAAATTCGGATCTGTGCCGTTCAGACTGTCATTAAAAGATCGGATACAGGTCACATAGAAGCCAAAAAATCGGATTTGGGTCACTTCAGGCTGCAGTCTGAACGCAGCCTTAGACTGTATTGCTATTTAGAACAGATTAACTACTATTTCTGTTACATAAAGTCATTTTAAAGTACCTTTTTACTGCCTTAAAACATGAAAAACTGTTCATTATTATTTGTAGTGATCCAAAGTTTACCCCTCACTTAAAAAATGCTCTGTTCCATCTTGTGATAACTTGAAGATTACAGCTTCATGACAAGCGCTTCCTGCATTATCACACGACATCACAAGGTGGAACAGTGTTTTCCCTTTGAGAGAAGAAGTCCATCTAAATATGCAGTGTTTGTGTGTCGAAGATGCACTGCGCAACTTTTCTGGTGGCGGGTCCGGCACCTGTTTGTCTCCATGGAGAAGTTATTGCTTTGCCTTGAATGTTCCGTTAAACGCATTTATTCATTACGGGTGTTTTTATTGCTCAAAAATACAATAATTCTCTCAGTGAATGGGGGCGACCCTCCACAGAGCTGACCTGTCATTGCTTTGTCTAGAATGTTCCTCAGTAATCATCTCCGTGCAGACGAGCAGGTGACGGACTCGGAAAAGAAAAGTTGCGCGATGCACCTTTTTTTTTTTTTTTTTTTTTTTTTTAAGTGTGAATGAAGCAAAACGCAACTGGTAATGATGTTTCCTCATCAAAAACATACTAGCATAGATCAAAAAATGGTATAATATGAGCCCTTTAAGACCAGATCAGAGTTTTGCCATCACAACGATAACAACTAGCATGCTCACCGTGCACTTCCAGATTCCCCGACATGCAGACAGCACACAGCAGACTTATACTTAGCTGTATCTTAGCCGTATATTGTTCCTGTTTTTAAGTTTTGAGTACAGAGATGTGCATTTTTTTGAGAATGTGTAGTCTCAAAAAGCAGAGCTACAGTGACAGCAGAAATATTTAATAAAGTAAATTGTGAAAAAATTAGAAACTGAATTGCACAATGTATTTATTTTAGCCTAAATATAAAAAAAAAAAAAACTCTCTCGTCTTGTGGAAATTGTCCCATCCCTAAATACTAACCCTTTTTAAATGCAGTGTTTTTGGGCCCTGATGTTTTAAATGACAAAGTTTCATAATACGTACATTTTTTCTTGTGTCGATTCACAGGTGCAGTGGTCCAGCTGTAACATCTTCTCCACTCAGGACCACGCTGCAGCTGCCATCGCCAAATCTGGAGTCCCAGGTAATCTTCATCTGACCGGATTAATGCATCTTTAATCTCACCGCTATAAGAATTTACTCCTATTAGTCTTAATTAGCACTCAGGCTCAGAAAGTGGGTTATATAAGTCTACATGTGAAGTACCAACCAGTTTTAGATTATCTGGTTGCAGTCCTTGTGTAACGAGATGGATTTTTACGTAATTTTAACTATTTTAGAAAAACATGAATGAACAGTAACAACGTATGTCTTTGTAATGTTATATTTGCTTTATACAATTTTTACTGGCTGTTATCTGCACAGCCTTGAATTCAATTATTACTGTATTCTATTCAGTTCACAGAATTGTTATCAAAATACAATTAAAGACACTGTACCTGATTTTTTTGTTTTTTTGTTTGTTTCTGTGGAAAACCACTGGGACAACTTTTCTGAATGTAAAAATGCCAGTGTTTTTTCTTGTGGTTTAGCCTAGAAGTGATTATTTTTCAAAGTCAGTAGACATTAAAGTGGTATTTCTAGTAGTAGTAGTAGTAGTAGGTATTAAATACTGCTCCTTGAGGCGTTGCAGCCCCCCCTTGTGGTGGTGCTGTGTCATTAGGAGCACAGAGAGACGGTGGAGGTCTGCACTGGGACTCTGTCTGAAGAGAGATCTCAGAGTGAAATCGACACCAACAAAATATTCTAACCACAGTGATTTCCTTACAGCTTTTCCCCTTTGACTTTCCTAAACTCCACACTTTGTTGTTTGTTGTCGTCGTACAGTTTACGCGTGGAAAGGAGAGACCGATGAGGAGTACGTGTGGTGCATTGAGCAGACCATTTACTTCAGGGATGGGCAGCCCCTCAACATGATCCTGGACGACGGAGGAGACCTCACCAACCTGGTGCACACCAAGTACCAACAACTACTCCCAGGTACCACTACTGCTATTACTAATACTTAGGGGTGTGCAGAAATCTCAAAATATTGATATATTGCATTGTTTAATGTGATGGTACAGTATCGATATATTGCCAGGAGTATTTTTTGGTATATTTTACTAAATTATTTTGTTAGAGTGCTACAGTTTTGTTGCTTGTTTAGTCACTGTTTTGATGATTAAAATGTTTGTTTCATATAAACTTCGCAAAAGATGTGGTTTAACAAAGATTTTTAGTATCACAGCCATGATTTAGACATTATTTTTTATTGAATTGTATCAAATCGAAAGTGCACTGGATTGAGTTATGTATTGTATCATGGCCTATGTATTGTATTGACAACTTCTTAATGATACTACTAATACTACAACTACAGCTGGTGTTATTACTAGGGCTTTTGATGTGTTCATGCGATTAATCAAAACGCATTGTCACATTTAATTATCAATTATTGTTAATTAATCCTTCGGCCCGTTTTGCCCAAAGAGACACACAAGGCAGGCTGGAGGACTCGCCTGAAGGAGTAACTACGCTTATAAACCTGTTATAAACCTGTTTTTGGTCAAGTATTATTGTTTCCCGCAGAAAGTTGGTTAGACAAGGCACAGAGAAGAAGTGAGGGGTACGGGGGGATTTGTGAAATTATTAAATAAGAACGTTTTCATGAAAAGAGAGGGAAAAAAAGCCCTACTTTAAATTAGAAAGTCTCATAAAAGAAATTTTGTTTTGTAATATGAGTAATAGTTTGGGATACTTCGTGGGTCGCGGTCAAACTACTCCAAACAACTTGGTATAACTACAAATGTCATTACTAGTATTACAAACCCAGTACAACATGAGTACCCCTCTACTACTAAGTATTTTTTACATGAATTAACTGAAAATATTCTAAAAATGTGCACTTTTGTACAGGAACAAACTCAAGAGTTCATTGTAAATGTTATTTTCAACATCCAAATAAATAGCCAACTTAATAAAAATGTAGTAACAGTATTCAACCACTAGATGGAGACATTGACTTGAAACTACTCATCTAAATTTTGCTGGAATTTTGCTGGATTGAGAAATATAGCTTTATTTATATTTGTTAAATCTACAGAATAATTGTTTACAGACATAGAGCCAAAAATGGAAATGAATTAGTGCAGTTGGATTCAATAAAAGCCTCATACAAATCTCCATGTAGCAGTTTTATTGCATAGAGCTGTTTTAAGATTTTACCATAGTGCTCCTTGAGGCGTTGCAGCCCCCCCTTGTGGTGGTGCTGTGTCATTAGGAGCGCAGAGAGACGGTGGAGGTCTGCACTGGGACTCTGTCTGAAGAGAGATCTCAGAGTGAAATCGACACCAACAAAACGCAAAATTTAAAACGATATTTGTAACTAAATGACAAAACGCAAACGCTGTGATCTGAATCTTATATTAAAGCTGCAGTGTGTAACTTTTCTGGAGGAAGGCTCGTAAAATACAGTACTTTTCACCATGGAGATGTTATTGCTTTGTCTGGAATGTTTCACAGTATGGCATTAAGCTTTTCTATCTTCATGGAGACCAAACCAGGCAAAGTTACAGGTCAGATCTGTGGAGTGGCAACCCCACTTCTAGTCAAAATACCGGTTTTTCTCAGCATTTTTGAGCTATAAAACCACTTGTAATTGAATAAATGTAAGTTGGAGCTGTTTAATGTCATACTGTGGAACATTCCAGGTTGACCAGTTGCTCATAGAAACAACCAGGTGACAGACCCTCCAATAGAAAAGTTACACAATGCACCTTTTAAACCGTGAAGCAGCTATGAAAGATTCAAACAAGTATTTTTTAAATGTTGGCCTAAATGTTATCAGATTTTCAAGGTTATTCACACTTTGCCTTTGTTTTGTCGGCTCGAATCTTTTTTTTTTTTAGCTCATATTTTTGATGGATTGGACTAAATGTTGCTCTTTTAAACGTTTTGAGGAATCCGTGGCGTGTCTGAGGAGACCACGACCGGAGTCCACAACCTGTACAAGATGATGAAGACCGGAGACCTGAAGATCCCGGCCATCAACGTCAACGACTCCGTGACCAAGGTGCTTTTTACAGACAGTTATTTTTAAAATCATCCACAGCAGCTTTTACGTTTTTTTACGGCTTTTAAAAACCTTTGCAGATTAATCCTAGAGCAGATGTGGAGTTGGGGTAGAACAGACACTTGGTTGGGGGTCCGTCACCTTCTTGTTTTTATGATTATGTGATTGCTCTGTCTGGAATGTTCCACAGTATCACATTAGACTGCTCTACTTTACATTGTTTTTTATTACAGGTGGTTTTATAGCGCAAAAATACCTAGAAAAACAGGCATTCTCACTGTGAGCTGGGATAACTCTCCACAGATCTGACCTGCAAAGTTTGTCTGGTTTGGTCTCCAAGAAAATAAAAAATGAATGGCATACTGTGTAACCATTTTTACTCCTACTTATGTATACAACAGAAGGGTACCTTTTTACTGTTTTTGAAAAAATTACTGTTTTATACTTCTACTTGAGCAGTGGTATTTTGAAGTGCTTGAGTACAACTTTTGTTTTTTGTTCTGTCCAAATAATTTCATATATTAATCACATTTGAAAACTCCCAGCTCCTCGCCTCATTTAATATTTACCTGTCTGTCTAATAAGCCTAGTAAAATGTAATGAAATGTTATCTTTATTTATTTATTTTTGGCCATATAACAGGTTTACTCATATGCTTTATTATTAAAATGTCACTAAAAATAGTCACAAAAAGTTATTCTGTCTGGGTATTAAGTCCTATAATAATACATAACACTAGTATAGACACTTGCGTCACACAATTCAAAACAGACAAAACACAAATGAAGAACCAGAAATAAATTGGATGCAGTTAAAGGCAGTTTTGAATAGCTGACCGTGTACTGTTCCCATGTAATTTTAGTCGTATATTTAGTCCTGACTCTGTGCTCTCCCCGTGTGTTTTCAGAGTAAGTTTGATAACCTGTACGGCTGTCGCGAGTCCCTGATCGACGGCATCAAGAGGGCCACAGACGTCATGATCGCCGGGAAGGTCGCCGTGGTAGCCGGGTACGGAGACGTGGGCAAAGGCTGCGTGCAGGCCCTCAGGGGGTTCGGCGCCAGGGTCATCGTCACCGAGATCGACCCCATCAACGCTCTGCAGGCCGCCATGGAGGGTGAGACGCTGTGGCTGAGTTTGACACAACATCATCACAATATTCTGTAGCAAAAGGTTTGGCTTGCAGAGTACCACCGGATCAAAACCAGGTCTATAACAGGACTATACCAGGTCTTAAAGTGGACTACATTAATTCCACTGTAGTTCTACATAAGAAATTATCCAAAGGAGGGCAAAAAATAGGTAAAATGAACTGTAATTTAGGCAAACCCACAACCTAAAGAGCTGTCCCAGTGTCACCTGAAGGAGCGCAACACCACAAACTGAGAAGCACACTGATCTACCGGACAGTAATTTATAATACTGGCAGTGCGATTCCTGCTCTAACCCAGGGTTCCCATGGTCATAGAAATCCTGGGAAAGTTATGGAAATTGAAAATGCCATTTTCCAGGCCTGGAAAAGTCATGGAATTTTAGTATCTTTCACGCAACTACAGTGTTCTGTTAAGTTCTCATTAGACTATTATGATTATTTCCAAACAAATGTATTTCTTATTTATTTGTAAAGGGACAGCACATATTAATGAACATTAAAAATGTAAGTATGTAAAGATTATAGCCAGCATGGCCAATTTCCATCTTCAGTCCCTCAGCAGGTTGATGTAAAATCATCTACAGGACGAGGAAAAGTACAGCAAGAATCACACAAAAGTACATAACACCAGCACCCTCTCTCTATATATATAAATTAAATTTCAATCAGTTCATTTAAATGCGCCTTTTGTTTAAAAGGGACGACAATAAATGCACTGACAGTATTTTGAATGTTAAAAAACTATAATATCAAACCATAAAGCTCGGGTCTCTAACCTTTTTCCTCAAGTGAGCTACTTTTACAAAATGAAAATGCCAAAGAGCTCCTCTTCTTAGCGGTCAAAAGAAATTGAGTAAATTTAAGAGCCACTGCCTTAGATGGGGCACAGTTAGATGTTTATACGTTTATAGAGTTGGCGGCAGTAGCTCGGTTTGTAGAGCATTCGCCCACTGATCTGAAGGTTGGTGGTTTGATTCCAGCTCTCGACATAAACATCACAGGTTGAGCGGTCAGATCCACTGACCCACAGGTTGGCTGGTGTGATTCCAGCTCCCACAGATGAATGCTGTCGTTGTGTCCTTGGGCAAGACACTTAACCCACCTTGCCCACAGTGTCTGTGTACACTGGTGTGTGAATGTGTGAGTGGTTCCTTGAGTCCCTTGAAGGTGGAAAAGCGCTATAGAAAAATGTGACCATTTACCATGTAGTGCACAATGTTAAATATCAAATTATACATTTACAATGGTAATAGCCTTTTAATCAGTCCAATTTTAGTTATTCACCTCAATACATATAATTCAGAAATCCCTGAGTGGAAAGGGTTAACATTTCATAATTAGCCCTAAATGTGTGATCAATTCTACACATGTAGGTGCTGTAAAGTCATGAAAAATTCACTTTAGGTCATGGAAAAGTGTTGAAATTTTGTCAGTGAAAAAGACTGGGAACCCCGATGAATGCTGTCTCTGTGTCCTTGGGCAAGATACTTAACCCGCCTCGCCCCTTTATCTGTGTACACTGGTGTATGAATGTGCGTGAATGGGAGAGTGGTTCAGATGTATAAAAGCTGAGACCACCGTCAACATTTCATTAGTAAACACACGTACTAACAGAAACAGATGTTTGGTAGGGTTTTTGTTACTGCAGCCCATGCGACACAGTGTATTTGGTTATTAACAGTGAAAGCCAGCTTGCTGTAATAAATAATTGTTCAGCATCCAGATTTTTGTACGGACAATGATGTTGATGATGAAGTTAGGCAAACATTTCATCTTTAATGTTATATTTTAGTTTCTGAATCAACGTGTAAAGGCTCGTCATACTGATCATATTGTTTCTAAGGTGGAAAAGTGCTCTATAAAAATGTGACTTTTTAATATTTGTCTGTCTGTAGGTTATGAGGTGACCACAATGGATGAGGCCTGCAAAGAGGGAAACATTTTTGTGACCACCACCGGCTGTGAAGACATCATCCTGGGACAGTGAGTCATGTTTGGAGCTTTTAACAATACTCCTTTCCCCTCCTCAAAAACATATGTAGAGTTGTACATTTACTTTAATCCATTAGTTTAAAGTCGTCTTCTCTGAGAACTCAGAAATGCGGTTTGGATTTTTACCTGTGACGAAACAATCCAGGCAAAATGCAGACTTATCCTGTGGACTTTTTAAGACTGTAAACTATCATCAGACAGCAGAAGGAGCTCCAACACCTACATTTTTAAAGTGTTTTCCAAATATAGACATTTTTACCTGGTCCCCGAAGGGTTGACCAGGTTTTGTGTTCACCCTGTGTGTCTGTCCACCTGCGATAATTCCACCATTTATGAACCGACTGTCACCAAATTTGGTACGTGGGTCAAGCCCCCGTGCCCGATGCTGCTGCTGCTGCTGCTGCTGAAAAAAAAAAAAAGTTTGGTGACGATGCGAGGTCGTTTGAGGTCACACGGGTCAATTAAAATGTCACGCCATTATAAAGGATTGGCAATGTCTGCAATTTCTGAACCATCTGCGGGCTAAAATATTCACCCAATTATCACACAAGTTGGCACACACATAACTGGGGTACACTGGATGTTACAGGTTGAAACTGGTCAAGGTCAAATATGCGTTTTTGGTCATAGCTCCGTGAAGGATCGAGCTCGAGCAACAGGAGTGGTCTCAAAATCTCAGAAAAATTATTATCTATTCATAATTCTATTCATTTGTATAGTAAAATATTAATAGTTTTCCAGATAGTCACAGAACAGTTCCTTTCTCTTTCAGTGTTTGCCCTTAAAATTCAAATTGGAACGAAAATAATTTCCATTTCTTCTTTTCTGGTGATACACAACACACTGATCTAAGTAAACACAGACATTCTCACACAAATGTTCATGGGCCTGTACAGATACACACATTACATTGTGGATATAACGATCATGTAATATGGGCTGGGCTCCTCATAAGCTGCTTCTGTGGTGATGAACTGCCCCCACCGATGCCTCATGGGGACCAGGTTGCCGTCTCTGATTGTGCTTGTTTAAAGGTTGTATAGAGGATTTTTTAAGGGAAGTGAAATACAGCGACCATCGTAGAAACATCTCCTCCTCCCGCCTCTTTACTCTAGAAATCACGTTTGTTTACATCCAGTGCATGTTCAGAATTACCGTTGAAGTGACCTGCCTAGAAATATTTTAGCGACCGACGCGTCAGTTTTTAGACCCTTCGGACTTTCTTTTGCGGCGAACTGGTCGTGGATTCTCGTCCACCGTTGCAACAAACTTTGTGCGAAATGCGAGGGAGCTGACAGTATGAAAAAGCCTCTAAGAACCGCCGCATAAACCACATAATCCCCGAGCGCCGACGACTCAGTTATACTAGGGAGTTTGATTGACAACCTAACAGATAAACATCAGCCAATAGAAAATGAGGGAGCCTCGTTTTCTATTGGCTGATGTTTATCTGTCCTCACTACGTCCACAACTGATAGATTTTCATTCTTTTTTTTTCAGTCATCATAATTAAAAAGCTGCTGCGTCTCTGTAATGGCATTTTAAACTTTCAATGACAATTTTAAACAAAAAAAAAAATCCTCCATACAACCTTTAAGTTAGAAAATGTGAAATATTTATCCATACTGTGTTTTTTTTCCTAGTCATTTCGAGCAGATGAAGGACGACTCCATCGTGTGCAACATCGGACACTTCGACTGCGAGATCGACGTGAGCTGGCTCAACAAGAACGCCGCCGAGAAGATCAACGTCAAGCCACAGGTGAAGAAACGTCTACGTAAATACAGCGTGATCGTCAGTGCTGCTCCTTGAGGCGTTGCAGCCCCCCCTTGTGGCGGTGCTGTGTCATTAGGAGCACAGAGAGACGGTGGAGGTCTGCACTGGGACTCTGTCTGAAGAGAGATCTCAGAGTGAAATCGACACCAACAAATTAACACAGAATTATCCACGAGATTTGGATTAAAATGAAAATAATAGTGGGGTTGCCAGGTTGAATATTTAGTGTGAATTCTGTCAGTTTGCAACTTTATGATTAAAAAAATGTCTGTTTATTTACACAAACATGAAACAATCTCTACATAATCTCGGTCCCTCACTAAACAGACTTGTCTTGTTCTCTCCCTCTCTTTCCCTCTTTCTTCCTTCTTTCTCACTCCTTCTCTCTCCCTCTCGCTTTCTCTTTCCCCTTTTCTCCCTTTTTCTCTTTCTCATTCTTTCTCCCTCTCTTCCTTGCTCCCTCTCTCCCTCTTTCTTTCTTTTTCTCACTCTCTCCTTCTTTCTGTCTCTCTTTCTCCTTCTTTTTCTCCCCCTCCTGCTTTCTCTTTCCCTCTTTCTCTCTCCCCATTTCTCACTTTCTCCCTCTTTTTCTCATTCTTCCTCTCTTGCTTGCTCCCTCTCCTTCTTTCTCTCTCCCTCTCCTTTTCCCTCTTTTTTCTCCCTCCCTCTTTCTCACTCTTTTTTTTCTCATTCTTCCTCCCTTTCTTTTTCTCACTCTCTCCTTTCTCCCTTTCTCTCTCTTCCTTTCTTTCTTCTCCCTCTCGCTTTCTCTCCCTCTTTTTCCCTCTTTCTTTCTCACTCTTTTTTCTCATTCTTCCTCCCTTTCTTTTTCTCACTCTCTCCCTCTCTTCTTCCCACTATCCCCCCTCTCCCTCTCCCTGCCCTTTCGCTCCTCTCTTCCTCCCTCCCCTCCCTGCCCTCTTTCTCCCTTCTCCTTCTCTCTCCCTGCTTCTCCTCTCTTTCTCTCTCTCCTCCCTCTCTCTCTCTTCTCTCTCCCTGCCCTCTTTCTCCCTCTCTCCCTCTCTCTCTCCTGCCTTCTCCCTCCCTCTTTTTCTCTTTCTCTCTCTCTCTCTCTCTCTCTCCCTGCCGTCTTCTCTCTCCTCTCTCTCCCTGCCTTCTCCCTCTCTCTCTCCCTCCTCTCTCTCTCTCCCTCTCTCCTCTCTCCTCTCTCTCTCCTCTCTCTCTCCCTGCCCTCTCTCCCTCCCTCCTCTCTCTCTCCCTCTCTCTCCCTCCCTCTCTCAGGTGGACCGTTACCGTCTGAAAAACGGCCGTCACGTCATCATCCTGGCCGAGGGTCGCCTGGTGAACCTGGGCTGTGCCATGGGCCACCCGTCCTTCGTCATGAGCAACTCCTTCACCAACCAGGTTCTTCACACACGTGGACGCGACACAGAGCACCAGACTCTCAGCGCTTTGATTTTGTTCTGTGTGCGGTGATTTTATTATTATTTTTATTTTTTATTTTATTTTCCCGCAGGTTCTGGCTCAGATCGAGTTGTGGACAAACACCGACAAATATCCTATCGGCGTTTACTTCCTGCCCAAGAGGGTCAGTACACACGACTTTTTTGATTCTTACAAAACTGAAATTGTGTGGATGATCAAACGGCAACACTTTTCGAGAAGTGACCTGTAATACAATCTGGATTTGAAGTGTTAGTGATATTTGCCACATTTACATGAGAGCTTTAATTCCGAAAATCATTCTGAAATAAAAATTAATTCCGAAAAAAAAAAAAAAAAAAAAAAATAAATAAATAAATCATTCTGAATAAAAATTAATTCCGAAAAATAAAAATAAAAAATCTGAATAAAAATAAATAAATAAATCATTCAGAATAAAAATTAATTCCGAAAAAAAAAAAAAAAATCTGAATAAAATAAAATAAATCATTCTGAATAAAATTAATTCCGGAAAAAAAAAAAAAAAATCTGAATAAAAATAAATAAATAAATCATTCTGAATAAAAATAATTCCAAAAAAAAAAAAAATGAATAAAAATAAATAAATCATTCTGAATAAAAATTAATTCCGAAAAAAAAAAAAATCTGAATAAAAATAAATAAATAAATCATTCTGAATAAAAATTAAACACCCCTCTGTCACAGAAAGAACACTCATATTCCACTGAGTCGTGTCCTTTAGTCGACAGAAGCTGAACCGCATCAGCGCACAAGAGTTTTTTTTGTTTTTTTTTTTCTTTCTCACTTTGTTTATGCAAATTAGCCGTGCGGTTTTAAGTTTCGTTTCTGTTAGACTTGCGCAGAGCTGCATTAAACACATGATATTGTCAAACGGGCTGATGTCTTTCCAGAGTTTTTATGGTTTATATGTTGTAAAGTTGAATTTATTTATGCAGATTAGTAATAGTAATAATAATGATGATACTTATTATATAAAAACGTTAATGATTAATCAAAAATCTATTGTTAATTCTCCCGACAATTTAATAAAATTTTATCGAATGCCCATCCCTAGTTCAGTAGAGATCAGCAATTCCAGGTCTGAACTTAACCAAATGATTCTACTGAAGTTTAAAAGCACTTCCTGTATTGCCAAATGACACAATCACAGGATCAAATGGAGTGTTTTCCATTTATGGGAAGAACTCAGCTTAAATATGCAGGGTTTGTGTATTAATATGTGTGAAGGAAACAAAAAAAAAAAAAACACTCCAGGTCTGTTTGCGATGAGAAAACATAACATGGATCGGAAAATAGCGTAATATGAACTCTTTTTTTAAATCAACAATTTGCAATGACTGCAAATTTAAAACAAAAATACTAAAAATGCATGATTTAGTTCCTGACTGTTCTAATTTGCACTTTCTGTCTTTCCTCAGCTGGACGAGCAGGTAGCGGCAGCCCACCTGGACAAACTGGGCGTGAAGCTCACCAAGCTGACAGAGAAACAGGCCAAATACCTGGGACTGCCCAAAGAGGGACCCTTCAAACCAGACCACTACCGCTACTGAGCTCCCCCCTCCACCACCCGCGGAAACGACCAGAACGACCATCAGCCAGAGGAGAGGGACAGGAGACAGGTGAGGCAGGGTCAGACAGGGACACGGCGACAGGGGCAGAGCAAAAAAAAAGAAAAAAATGAAAACGTTAACGGTCTTAAATTAATACACACATCAATCAATCCTGTTTATTTTAAGTGTCTTATTACATCATCTACGTTAAGTGCACTTTTCAAGATGAAATGTGTAACTTTTGGGAAGGAGAACTCATGGAATGTTCCGCAATATGGCGTTAAACTACCTTCATATCTTCCATTTATTCAACAAAAATGTATTCTTTACCGTAGACAGAAGGATCGCCGCTCCACAGCTTCGATTTTCTAACTTGCGCTCGACAAGTTTAACGGCATGACATAGACGACTCAGACTGCGCCGGAAAAGTTACGCAGTGCAGCTTTAATTTACAGCTGTGTCTTTCTTCTATTCAAAAAAACTCGCCACATCTGAATGACTTTTGAAGTTTTTTGTCCGTAAATACAAGCCACGGTTTCATAACTTTGTGTACCTTCTGCCTACGTGGTAACAAATCTGGACAATTTAAATTACCGTTTTTCACTATATCAAATTGCTCTGTCCGTTCACTTCGTCTCCTCCCTCTTCTTCTCTATATTTGTCATTCCCTGAGGATCTAAGTGAGCTTTTCCAGAGAATATTTGGCGGAGTTGTTGCTTCTGATTTCTCCGGTTTAACAAAAAGAACTTGAAATTCTCCGATGAATTTCAAAACGCCAAAGCTCGGTTTAATGTGATTTTAAAAAAGTCTTATATTCTGTTTCTTTTTCTTTTTTTCGTTTATGTAATTATTTAATTTGACTTGAAGGGCCAAAATTAAGCGCAGTGCCCCTCCTTTTGAATCTCGTGGATTAATCGGATCAGTGTTGCCGGGTGTGGACGCTAGGGGGCGGTGTGGAGTCGGTTTCAAACGGTTACAGTGGGGTTCAGAAGTGTTAAGATGAAGCTTGATGATGAAATGTGGAATAAAAAAGTGTTGAGTTTAACTGTGTGCTTGTGTTTTTTTAGAACATCGACATTATCGTAAGACTCATTCCAAAAGTTTGTTAAATTACTTTAGCCAAGATACCGAGTTTACGTTTATTTATTATTACAAAATGACAAAATAGACAGTAAAAATAATGTAAACAAGGATGACTAGTGGTTAAAAACATCCAGTAGTGGAAGTACTCAGTTTTGTTAAGTAAAAGTACAGATACTGGTGCAGAGGAGGCATCTTGGAAGGACAGGAATTTAATATAAAAACCTGACTGGAAGAGCACATTGTTTTAATCGATAAGCTCTATTCACACTTGCCAGAAAACGTTTGGAAACATGCGGATGACGACTTCCGGTATAGTTACAACACTGGGAAGTTGATAAAACCATGGATTCAGCAGCATTAAGAAAAAAAAAAAAAAAAAAAGAATACAGTGACTTGTAGATGAAGAAAACCAGATCAGGTTTTCCCAGATTTTGTCAAAGTTACTCTCGCCGACAGCCCAAAGGACGTCATCTTCATGTTTCCAAATTAAATCTTTGGGTTTTGTGACGTAAGCTTGAATAGAACCTATTTATTATATTTTAGTATGAAGATTCAAATATTACATAATTTTGCTGCAGTCTAGTCTGTTTAGAACATTGCTTTTAATATTTGAGTCTAGATTTTAATTTAAATAAGCTAATTACCATGTTTATTTAGTATTTTTCTTTTACAGATAGATTTTATTTGCACATATATGAAAAACATTTTGAACAAAATTAGAAATGACTGTGCAGGAGAGAATTAGAAATGACGTTATTAGTCGTATAAGATCACCTCCCCTATAAACATGATGTTAAGAGCTGTGTAGTTAAGTCCTACATAAATCCATTTAAAAAATTTACATGAATTCAATGGAATGAAGTATGACCCATGAATCTTATCATTTACACTCCCAAACACACTTCAGTGCAGAGCGTGATGACAGATCAGGTTGAAGGCATTTGAGTCAAATAAGTATAAAGTGTAAGTGAACAGGCTCTCTTTTCGTTTACCAGAAGACGTTTAGAAACATGTGGATGATGACTTCTTTTCATTTACAACCTGTCAAAGCTTTCCACAGGGGACGTGATTCTAATCGCATCTTCAATGTCACTTACAAACAGCTGGTTGTAACGTTTCATCTGCTGAACACGATGCAACACAACAATGACATCTTGTTTTAAGTTGGACAGATTATAATACACTAATTAATTGGCAATTTATAAAAGGGAAAAAGAAAATACATTGACATCTAGAGCAGATATGTCAGATTTGGGCCCGGGAGCCTAATTTGGCCCACGAGATCATATCAAATATGTATTCTAGCTGGCCCACTGGCTATAGAGACGTTATTTAAAATTTTGTTATTTTATATTATACTTGTTCTAGATTCAATGTTTAAGCAAAACTATTATCAATCATTTATTTTGATAAGAAAATTTAACTTTACACATCTTGAAAGAAGAGAAAACATGTGGATGTTGTTGAAATTTTTCAATAAGTATTTAGTTTGGCCCACGACTTAGATTCACAGAGGGCCAAAATTAAAAACTGGGACTGAGTTTGACATCCCTGATCTAGATGAAGTAATCCGGGCCATTTTTTTTTAAAGATTTTGTTAGTTACTATCGCCAACAGAGCCCAGAGGAAGTCGTCATCCACATGTTTCCAAACGTCTTTTAGGTTTTGTGACGTGAGCGTGAATAAAGCCTTATACAAGCCTGCACCTGCAACATCTGTGACTGTCCAATCAGATCTGTCCTTCAGAAGCAAACTCGGGTTAAACTCCGGGTTAGAGTTATTTGTTTATTTCATTTATAAAGTCTAACAAGACATTAACAGTGTCAAAGCATTAAACATACAAGAAATGAATGAAACGGAGGAGAAAGAAGCGTCATCTTGTGTTATCTACCCCCTAAAACCTGCTCTGGACCAGGTGAGGTTCACAGTGTGTTATGAAACAGAAAACTCGGACTAGAGAAGAGGCTAACTCAGAGTTTGGCCTGAACCAGCTTCTTGAAACGGGGCCAGTCTGAGCAGCTGCTAAACCTGTACTTAAGCGTTTTTTTGAAATTTGTGTATTCCTTTTGTTTTTCCTCTGCATGTTCATTTATTGTCCATAAAGATGTAGAATGAGGTGGAAACATGAGACCCTTTAAACTTAACAAATCAAAGGGTGCCCAGATGAATTCAAATAGGCGAGTTTCAGCTGACGTCATTGTTATTAAAAGCCCGCGTTGCATGCTGGGAAATATTTTGGTCGGAGGCAAGAAACACGGTAGCGGTCAAACACAGTGCGTAACCTCGCGTATTTATCCCCGATAATGGTAAATTCCCGCTGCATTATCGGATGCACAAATAGAAGCACGGAAGAAGGAAAATGTCTTTTTCGTATTCCAAGCTAACGGTGAATTAAACGGCTTTCAAACATTCACAGAGCAAACGTAGAAGATCCTAACAAACCGTGGACTCCAACAAGTTCAACAACACATCGAGACTCTTGGAGGTTTTCATCTTTTCTGCTGTGAATGGCCCAGGAGTTTCCACCAAGTCATTGTGGATATCGCCCAAGTGAATATTTGTCCAGGTAGTTGGTGATTCAGACCAGAAATTTGGTTTGGTCCACCTTTTGTCGGGGTTGAAAAGGGTGATTTGTCGTCCGTCGATGCTTATGACCAATTTCTGGTCAAATGGTCTTGGGTCCTCTGCCGTTAGAGTGGATAAATAACCGGGATCAATACCCTTTACGTGCTTTCTCGCTCCGTCCGTCATGTTGAATTAGTGTTTCTTGCCGCCGACCAAAATAATTCCCAGCATGCAACGCGCGCTTTTGTCAACAATGAAACTCGTCTATAAAATCACACCAGATTATAAACTTACAGGAGGATGTTGTAATCTTACTGAGCTGCTTGGATTCACTCTGGTCCAAATAAAATGGCAGTAATCTGTTTTTACAAAGGATTTCCAATTTCCCCAACAATGATTTATACACAATGTGAAACCAGATAGAGACACGGGGAATTTATCAAATCCTGTCCAAGAATAAAAAGGCTTTCTCTTAAAACTGTCGAAACATAACGTCTGATTTATAATTTGACGTTAATGTGATTGGAGGGAAAAAACATAACACAATACACCAAAAAATTTATTTTCAAAGGCACAGAAATGAAATCATATATGAATGAGTCAAGCAAGAAACACGAATGTTCAAATCATTTATTTTCAACATGAAACTTTAGTCACTTGTCACTTGCTGACAGTGGAGGAACCAGAACTTAACATTTAAACTCATGTGTTTTTATAAAGCAATAACAGATTTTTTTAAAGGTGCACTATGTAACTTTTCTGATAATGTGTACATAACCAACTTGTTTAGATAAATATGTTGTTAAAATGTTATATAAAATGGCTTTTAGCATCTAATTAAATGCGCTGAAATGCCTGAAAAATCTGCATTCAGGGTCGCCTCTCTACAGATCTGGGGGTTTGTTTACACAAGATTATGAAGACATTTTCCTAAATAAGTGGCCACAAGAGGCACACTCCACCCAAGCTCCTGATTTATAAATCCCCCTCCACACTCCACCTGCAGCTGGAACCTGCACGTGTCAGAACGCCTGAGCCCTCCTGTGGACAATGTAATGAGCTCATGCATATTCACGGGGTTTAAAGTCAGTCCAGTGCGTTTTCCTTTCAACACAGCAGTCTACATGACAACCCCAAAGAGAAAGTTCACAGAGACAGAAGTGGAGGTGCTGGTTCAGGAGGTACATGTGTGAAAAATTGTATTTGCAAGACACAAATAAAGAAAAACTACTGAGTGGGAGCACACAGCTCAAGCGTGCAGTGTCGTCAGTGGGACGGATTGCACCATGGATGAAATTATTTTTTTTTTTATAATTTGCAATTTATTCAGTGCTTTTTTGTCCACATAAATCACAATATACATGCCCTATTTTTTTTCCCCCACACATAATCTCAATATAAATGTAGAAAATAGATAAAAAAATTACAAAAAAACTAAATAATAATAAAATAAATAACATAATAGCAATAATAATGATGATGATACTTAATAATAAAAAGGACTATATATGTATGTATATAATACATACAACTATATATATTTATATATATACATACACATACACCTATACACATACACACAATAAGCATACATACATTATATACACCATACATACATACACCACATTTTATATATGTATATATACATATACACATATATACACATACACCAATATACGCACATATATACATACATACATATATACATACATACAAATAGATAAAATAAATAAATTATAAGCTAATAACTAAAAAGGAGGCAGTCGGGTTACACATACAGTACATTTTAGAATACACATACGTATGGACGAAAAAAAAAAGTACCGGTCTCAAAGTGAAAATGTGTTCATGTCTGGCACTATAGCAGGCCCTGACACTAATGACCCTGGACAAAGGATGGAGTCCATTCAAGGTTCAAGGCCGAGAATGTTTTATGTGACAGAAGAGGAGGGGGACAGACATGCCGACCCAACAGCCAGGTACTGTTTAAGAAACGGTAGCTCCGGGGGAAGAGATTGGTGCTCCTGACGAGGCGGACACAGGGGCAGTAGGCCGTCCTCTGGCCACACAACAGGGATAGTCCAGATGATGCCCGCCGGGTGCTGCTCCTGCCAAATCAGAGGGAAGCCAGGTGCTCACAAATGCAGTGCTGCAAACCCAATGCGATATAATCAGTGCCATCAATAATGTGACAGGGGCTGAGTGAAATCAAGAGAGTTTTAGGGGAAATCTCTAGACACCCTCAAAGAGCTTTTCTAAAAATAAAGTTCCTTTTGAAATGTCTGTGTGAGCGTGTGGGAGTGTGTCTGATTATAGTGAACCTGTGCTGTGTCCTGTGGGCTGAACAGACACAGGGTGAAGTCTGTCACCCACTATGACTCCACAATAGTGAATATT